ATCTTCTTAAGATTTTCAGAGGTACAACTTGATACAAGAAAAGTTGATGCAACAAGAATGGATTATAGAGGTGGAGTATCGTTGTTTAAGGATAATCTGCCATCGTTGGTACACTGGCAAGGATTATGGAAGATCTTTGGTAGACATGGAGAGGTTTGAAATGTGTTCATTGCAAGTAAACGAAGTAGAGGAGGGACAAGGTTTGCTTTTGTTCGAGCGAGAAGTAGGATCGAAGCCATGAGAATGATCGAGAGATTCAACAGTCTTAAGATCTATGGTATTCGTAAAGCTGTGGTAATGGCTAGGCTCAATAATAAGTCAATGATGGGGAAAATTCAGATCAAGAATACGGTATAAGGACAAAAGTAGTTTGGCCGCCACTTATAGAGACGTAGCAGGGGGAGAACAACAACCAGAATGATTTAGTTAAAAAAAGTATCATTGGATATTGTGAAGATAAAGAAATATGGAAGAATAGGAGGTGTCTGGTTGGTTTTATGGCAACTGTTTGTAGTGTGGGGAGCATTGTAAGTAGGCTACAAGGTTGGGGGCTTGGGGAAATTCAAGTTCAAAGACTAGGAGGAAAATCGTTTTTACTTACCATTGAAGATGAAGATTTGTTCTTGATGGAAGACCTCCATTGGTCTTATCTATAAGAGATATTTGTCGAAATCAAACCTTGGACAGAAGCATTCACTTAAGTGGAAAGGGTGACTTGGTTGGAATTCTCAGGGATACCATTGCATTGTCGAAACGAAACCATGTTGAGAAGGCTAGCTGATCCGTGGGGAAAGTTTAAAGCATATGGAGAGAACGTGAGACATTAGTTGGATTGTGAGAAAGTAACTATGCTGTGACAGCTAATCAGATTTCACGAATTTAAGAGGTGGTTGATATTGTAATGGAGAATATGAAGTATGGAGTACGTGTTAGGTAATCAGGTTTTAACGATAGCTCGCTGGTACAATTGATTGGGTCTCTTAAACAGAAGTCCATGTTGGGGAAACCGGGTTATTTCCCACACGAACGTAGTTTCAAAATTGACCTAAAATATCAAGATCAAAACCACCAAAGGTTGCACAGCGGATAAACCCGTCAAACTATTAAATATTGAAACACAATTGAAAAACCGAATAAAGAACAATAAAGGAGAAAACACACCAAATTTACGAGGTTCGACGAGAATATCGTCTACTCCTCGGGCACCACACCGGATGGTAACTTTACTATCAATAAATATTACAACAAATTGAATTCTTTAGAATTCCCAAAGTAAGACAATGAAGAAAACAAGAGGAAGAGAGAACTTGTTTTGGGATGATTTCTAATGAAATACTTAGGTCTATTTATAGTTGAGTTTTAAAGACTAAACTTATAAATAACCTAATATTTTAGGGACCAAAGATGAAATTCCCATTTGCACAAGTTGGCCACCTACTAAAGAAATTTTCAATGTGTACAAGTTAGCCACCAACCAAAGATGTCAACTGTGCCAACTTTCAATTTTTCCAACTTTCAAGTCAAACATAACAAATCTCCACCTTGGCTTGAAATTACCAAGCCTACTCAACTTTTTCAACTCAAATTTGATGAAATTATTTTAATGTAGTGCCTTTAATTGCGCTCACAAGAGTCACACACCCGAAGGTGTTCATACTTTCAGGATATTAATCAAGTTCAAACAATGATTGAACTTGATTACTGTTACCACCTTGGTCATCATATCTGTAGTTTTTTCTGCTGTTGCAATTTTCTAAAGTAGAATCTTTCTTTTTTCAAAGATTTCTAGCACAAAGTGATACCTCACGTCGAAATGCTTAGTCCTTGAATGGTAGACTTGATTTTTCGCTAAGTGAATAGCGCTCTGACTATCACAATAGAGACTAATGTGACTTTGAACAACTCCCAAGTCTTCCATCAACTCGTTAAGCCAAATTGCTTCCTTCACAGCCTCTGAAACTGCCATGTATTCTGCCACTGTAGTAGACAAAGCCACTGTAGATTGCAAAGTAGACTTCCAACTTACTGGGGCTTTAGCAAGAGTAAACAAATACCCAGTAGTTGATCGACGCTTATCCTAATCACCAGCATAGTTGGAATCAACATATCCAACCACACATTGACCAAGTGTTTCATCCTATTCAAAAACTAAACCAACATCCATGATTTGTTGGAGATACCGTATAATCCATTTCACAGCTTGCCAATTTCATTTTCCAGGATCATGCATGTACCTTCTCACAACTCCAACTGCTTATGAAATGTCAGGACGCGTACACACCATTGCATACATCAAGCTCCCAACTGCATTAGCATATGGAACTTTTACCATATACTCTCGTTCTTCGTTAGTTTTAGGAGATAACTAAGAACTAAGTTTCAAATGAGAAGCTAGTGGAATACTTACATGTTTGGTATTTTTATTCATGCCAAAACATTGTAATACATTTCTCAGATACTTCTTCTAAGTTAAACAAAGCTTCCCTCTATGTATATCTCTGCTTATCTCCATACCAAGAATCTTCTTGGCCTCACCTAGATCTTTCATCTCAAACCCATGATTCAACTGAGCCTTTAATTTGTCTATCTCCTTTTGACTCTTCAAAGCGATTAACATACCATCAACGTACAAGAGAAGATAAATTAAAGATCCAACTTTGAGCTTTTGTAAATACACACAATGATCATATTTGCTTATAGTGTACTTTTGCCTCCTCATAAAGCTATCAAATCGCTTGTACCACTATCTCGGAGATTGCTTCAATCCATATAGTGATTTGTTCAGCTTACAAACCCATTTCTCACAACCACCATCTTTGTATCCTTCTGGTTGAGTCATATAGATCTCCTCTTCTAAATCACCGTGCAAGAAAGCCGTCTTTACATCAAGTTGAGCTATCTCCAAATTCAACTGTGCTACCAAGGGCAAGAATATTCTAATGGAGGAATGTTTCACAATAGAAGAAATTACTTCATTGTAGTCAATTCCCTCCTTTTGAGTGTAGGCTTTAGCTACCAACCTTGCCTTGTAGCGAACTTCTTTCTTGCTATGAGATCCATATTTATTTGTAAATACCCACTTGCATCCAATTGCTCTTTTACCTTTCGGTAATTGTGTCAGTTTCCAAGTGTTGTTCTTTTGGAGAGATTGTATTTCTTCATCCATGTCACTTTTCCACTAATCACTTCCCAAGCTTTGTATTTCTTCTTAGTAAGTGATAGGGATATTATCATCAACAACTGGAAGAGCATAGGCCACCATATCAACAAATCGAGCAGGTCTACGAATTTCTCTCCATGGCCTTGTAACTACAAGTGATTCTGGTGCCTCCAATGGTTCTTGGGTTTGAACCTCTTCATCTTCTAATTCTTCTATTGGAGTTGAAGAATCAGCTGCATCAACTTTTGGGATCATCGTCTGCTGAAACTCCACCTGTTTTGGAGTATGCTCCACCTGTTGCGGAGTACTACTTGTCTATACAGCTTCATTTATTACCTTCTTTACTAGGGCATATTCATCAAAGGTAACATCTCTGCTACAAATTATCTTCTTGGTGTCTAAACACCAAAGGCAGAATCCCTTCACTCCATGGGTGATTCCCATAAAGAGAGCATTCTTTGCTCTCAGATCAAGCTTGGATTCCTTCACATGATAATAAGCAGTTGATCCAAATACATGTAAGGAAACATAATCAGTAGCAGGTTTTCCAGACCATACCTCCAATGGTGTTTTTCCTCCTATCGCTGATGATGGAAGATGATTGATGAGATGGCTAGCATATGTCACAACCTCAGCCCAAAATGTCTTACTTAACTCATCATTAGACAACAGACATCGAACTTAAGTGTCGAACAATACCATATTCATGGCAAACGTCAAAGAATGGGTAACTTTTATATTCCCCTCCATTATCCGTCCTAAGAAGTTTGATCTTTCTACCAGTCTGGTTATTGATCATATTTTTCCATTTAAGAAAAAATCGAAGCACTTCATCGGATACACCCAAACTCTTCTGTAAAAGTCATCTACAAAAGTTACAAAATAATGGTTTCCTCCCAAAGATGATGTTTTTGAAGGACCCCATATATCTGAGTGAATATAATCCATAATATCTTTTGTATTATGTATAGTGGTGCCAAACTTTACTCTTTTCTGCTTTCCCAGGACACAATGCTCACAAAAGTTCAATTTGCAAGCCTTTGCACATTTCAATAATCGTTTTTTCGTCATAATTTGCAAGGATTTCTCTCCAACATGTCCCAATCGCATATGCCACAACTGGGTTATGTCCAAATCATCACCTCCAGAAGTTACTGCAACTGCTCCAATAATTGTACTACCTTGGTAGTAATACAAATTATTTTTCCTGATGCCCTTCATCGTCACAAGTGCGCCAGATGAGACTTTTAAAATTCCATCTCTCATAGTGACTACTAAGTCTTTGGATTCCAAGGCTCCCAATAAGATGAGATTTTTCTTCAAACTGAGCATGTATCGGACATCAGTTAGAACTCTGGTTGATCCATCTTTATTCTTTAATCGAATTGAACCTATCCCAATAGTTTTACAGGCATTGTCATTGCCCATATAAATAACTCCTGCATTTAGTTCTACTAAATTGAAGAACAACTCCCGATTAGGGACATATGATGGGTGTAACCCGAATCTAATATCCATTCATCTGAATGGAATGTTGTTGACGAAGTAACCAATGATATGTCAGTCATTTGCATCATGCTCTGCAACACATGCATCTGGAGCATCCTTTCTTCTTCAGCTTCTGACAATCTTTCTTCCAATGGTCTTTCTCATCACAAAAGACACATTCATCTTTTCCCAGTCTAGACTTCAACTTTGATCTCCCTCTCTACTTTGGCTTTTGACTTTTCGAGCGACCTCTTGCCACCATGGCCTCCGCTGCTTCGTACTTGCTCTCCTTCTTGGTTTTCTTCCTGAGCTCATAACTATACAAAGAAGCAGTTACATCTTTAAGGGTAACATTATCCTTACCATGAAGTAACGTTGTCTCAAGGTGCTCAAATTCATCTAGAAACAACAACATCAAAGCCAAATCTTCATCTTTGAAAGTTTCATTCATGCCCAATAAGTCTTCCACTAGCTCATTGAATGCAGTGATGTGTTCATTCATACTGGTGTCTGGTTGATAATCAAATCTGAACAATCTTTTCTTCATGTGGAGATGATTCTGAGAGCTTTTCTTTAGGAATTTTTTCTCCAATGCTTTCCACATCTTACTTGCAGAAGTCTCTTTCTTGTAGCCATACTTATGTTCCCTGGAAAGACAATATCGAATCGTGTTGCACGCCAAACGATTGATTGTTCCCCATTCTTTCTCCTTCGTATCTACGGGCTTTTCTTCCTCAATGGTAATGTCTAAACCTTATTGGAATAAAGCGTCTAACACCTCGCCTTGCCACATGCCAAAATGATCGGATCCATCGAACAACTTCACCGAGAAATTTGCATTTGACATCATCCTCCTCACCGGTCCATATGAAGAGCTTGATGTCTCAACTGACCTGTATTTCGGCATTTTAATTCTAACAAACAATATTCAATAGCACGAATTGTATATTTTTAGCAACGGGACCACCGAGATAACTTCAACCGAAGCTCTGATACTAATTCTTAGGGAAACCGTGTTATTTCCCACACGAACGTTGTTACAAAATTGACCTAAAATGTCAATATCAAAACCACCAAAGGTTGCACAGCGGATAAACTCGTCAAACTATTGAATATTAAAACACAATTGAAAAACCGAATAAAGAACAATAAAGGAGATAATACACCAAATTTATGAGGTTCGACGAGAATATCGTCTACTCCTCGGGCACCTCACTGGATGATAACTTCACTATCAACAAATATTACAACAAATTGAATTCTTTAGAATTCCCAAAGTGAGACAATGAAGAAAACAAGTGGACGAGAGAATTTGTTTTGGGATGATTTCTAATGAAATACTTAGGTCTATTTATAGTTAAGCTTTAAGGACTAAACTTATAAATAACCTAATATTTTAGGGACCAAAGATGAAATTCCTATGGGCACAAGTTCGCCACCTACCAAAGAAATTTTCAATGTGTACAAGTTAGCCACCAACCAAAGATGTCAACTTTCAATTTTGCCAACTTTTAACTTTGCCAACTTTCAATTTTGCCAACTTTCAATTTTTCCAACTTTCAAGCCAAACATAACAGTCCAAAGCAATTGGAGGAGATAAGGAAAATGGGTGTGGGATCGGTAAGGTATCTGGAAAATAACTCGTCGATGGCTTCTTCGTCAAAGATAGATGCTTACAAAAGAATAATCGACAGAAAAGGAAACCTCATTCAATGAAGATTGTATTGGGAAGAAAGAACTTATGTGTTGTAATGATGAAGATAAGGAGGTACATGATGCTCTTAAATATACTATAGTAATCACTCAAGTATACGTGTCGCCACCAAGTAATAAAGTGGAAATTCTTTTGGGATTTCGGATCTCGTAACCACAGATAGCAGAATAAGTTACAATTGAAGAAAGATATAAGGTGCATGGGCTTCGAGGTTATGTCTAAAAAGTATGTGGGTGGTCAAGATCCAAGTAAAGAATTAAGGGCCATTACGTGTAACGAAAAGTTCAACGCATGTTCTAATAATAATTCAAATTTAGAGATATTGAAGAAAGATATTAGTAATAATTATTTTTGGGAAGCCGATTATGACAATTTCTTTCCAAAATTAAACAAGACGGCGATAAGTAAGAAAGCAATGAAGTGCGGGTCGCTCCTCGATCTTTAAGATAAGGTTCTCTTAGTTGCAGATAGGATGAAAAGAGATCGAGCACGTAAGAATAATAAGGTTAAGAAAGTAGTTTTGTCGTCTTCAAAGTTATCATGGAGGTCTCTTTCCGACTCAGATATTAGAGCAAAGTGGTCGAAGACGATCAAAGAAGCTGAGAATACTTTGGCTTTGGATAAAAAACTAGGGATTCAAGTGATTGGTGATGGGAGAGGTGGTGAACGAGTTGGCTTTATTAGAAAAATATTAGAAAAAGATTAAGGAAGGTTTATTGGGTGGTAGGGGGTCGGGAAAGAAGGATATTTGCTGCAGAATGAAGATTCTTACATGGAATGTGAGGTGAATTTGGCTCCACCCAATAATTGTTTTTAATGAGACTTATGTAGTACAATTAGGTTAAAGAGGATTTTAATGAGACTCATAAGTACGACTTTGGCTTTCAATTATAAATAATATAATATTTACCGAGAAAAAAAGAAATAATTGTTGAAGTTCAAGGAAGTGCATTCAAGTCGGTAGAATCTGAGAATGATGCAAAAAAGGCCTTAACAAGTATCAAGGAAAAGAAATTGAACTCACACGCACGCACGTACCCACACACCATGCACATGCACCCACATACCGCGCGCTCACCACAAACACACACTTGAATGCCTCTAAAATTTTTGAAATAATATCTAAATAGAAATATACTCATTGATTTGACCCATGTGTTATTTTCATGTAATTTCTTAAATAGGTTTAGTCCTTTTGTCATTTTATGCTTCTAAAACTTATAAAACCTTATCAAAAGGTTATCCAAATCTTTTGATCAAGTTTCTAATAATTTAAAAGGTTTAAGTACCCGTTGTTTCAATCATAAACAATCCTGCGCAACTTTTGACATATCAAATAATTTTTACGTAACTATTAAACTAGTAATATGATATACTTGACCTAGAAGTACATCATAATTCTATGTTCATTAAAATGTGCTTAAAATGCATTTATCAACTTAGAGCATTTATTGTAATCGTATCTTTCGCCTATCATATTTCCTAATTAAGTTAATCTACTGATTAGTAAATTACTATTATCTTTCTTTCATGCATTTTTTAGTCACACTAGAATGCATTAAGAACCACATTCACCATAAAGAATTCATACATATATGATTATATCATACTCATCATTTATACAAAAAAAAAACAACAAAAAAAACTCTACTCCCTAAACATCGTTTTCCAATCGTTGATATTATCGGCTCCATGTCAAGCAACAAGGGACCATACACCAATTAAAAATGGTTCTGAGAGTCAGCCATGTATGGGAAATGATCAAAATGTTACAACGCTCAAGATTGATGGGAAATGATCAAAATGTTACAACGCTCAAGATTGATACCTAATTGATTATACATTGTCTTAGTAGTGAATTTTCAAAGTCAAATATAAATTTAAATTATGATCATTTCATTTATATAATTTATTTTAAATGAATTAACTTTTATTAAAAATATTTGACTCCAAGAATAATATGGTTCACTCAGTTTTATTTAAAAAAAGATGTCCTTTTTGTTTTAAAAAATTAACGAAGATCATCGTCCAATTATTTAGGACATTATGTTTCTAAAATTTACCGAACCTTGCCAAAAGATTACTCAAACCTTTTGAACAAATTTCTAATGACTTAAAAAGTTTAACCGATCGTTCTTTCATTTATAAACAACTCCTATGTTTTTTTGACATGTCAAATAATTTATATATAACTATTAAACTAACAATACCACTGTAGACACCCGTTTTTGTCCGGGTCTTTTCTATCTAATTTTAATTATTATTATTATTGTTATTATTATTGTTATTATTATTATGTTTATTAATTATTATTATTATTATTTTTGCAGGCCAATTTTTGAGGCCCAGTACATCAACCCAGTCAACCCAATTACAATACTTGACCTGAATCAGGCCCAGCTGCTCCGGATCCGACCCATCCAAGCCCAACAAGTTGACCCATACCCGGTTAGGGTTTCACTCTAAGGCACCAGCCGCTCGAGATTTCAGCCGTTGGATCAGATTTGATCCAACGGTCCAAAGGGACCCTAGTTAGGGTTTTAAACCCTAAATTGAAGCTCAGCCGTCGTCGCCTTTTAGCCTCTCAGCCGAGTGAGTGCCGCCGACGATCCCAAGCCACCGCCGTTGTCATCCAGCTTCCAAACAGTAACTGAACGTCATCCACAGTGCCCAAATCAGTCAAAAAATATATCAAATCTAAAACCCATTAAAATATCATTCTAAATCCCGATTTTTTCGGGATTCAATCGTACCAAATCAGAGAAGCAATCCCCATACCCCGTAGGCTTCATGATTTCATTCAAAACCCCTAATAAATCAAGCATGCAACCAGACAAGATGGGGTATTCAAGGGTGTTAAGAGCAGAGAACAGAGAAAAAACGGGGGGCATTCGGGTTCAGGGAGAAAAAAAAAACCAGAAAAAAAAACAAGAAAAAGAGAACTACTCGAACCAAACAAAAAAAAATAAAAAAACCAAGAGGGAAATAGAGAGGGAGGAGACCATACCTTGATCGGAGAAGTCATCGAGAGGAGGAAGGGTCACCGGTTTCTTGTTTTCTCAAAAGGTATACCTTAGATTTAAGGGTTTAGGGTCGGTTTTAGGTTAGGTAGGGGTGATTTTCGGGTTGAGGGTAAAGGAGGGGGGTCTTTTGAGACTGTTTACTTCCTCCGACCGCCGGGCACTGCCGTGCCGGCCGTCATGGGCCTCCGGGATGGCCGCCGGTATGAGGCGGCCCTTTCTTCCCCGATGTGAAGAAGTTGAGAGAGTTTTAAAACTCTCTCACTTCTGTTTTCTTTGGATGAGAGGCAAATGAGAGGATGGATGAATGAATGCCCGTTTTTGGGCTTATGTAATTTGACCAAACGGCGCCGTTTCAAGGGTCTGGGCACCCGTGTTTTGCAAGCATGGGGTAACTACAGTTTAGGTCCCTTCTCCTTTGTAATGCTTTATTTAAGTCATTTAATGAAATTATTATTGTTTTATTTCGAGCCTTTTAGTTTTTAATGATTGCATTTCAGTCATTAATTTGTATATTATGTTTGCTGATATTATAATTTGGTTGTGATATTTATATTTATTTCGTTTTAGTCACTGTTTCAGTTTATTGTGCATTTTCCTTTGATATTCGGATTTGGTCCTGAAATTTGCAAATGTTATATATTAGTCCCTGTTCATGTTTTATCATATTTGTCTATATTTGATTCTGGATTTAATATTTTCAAATATTTTAATTTAACCACTGATCCCATGCATTTTATTATCTTTACTGTTATTTGAGTTTGGTCATCATATTCGTATATATTCTATTTTAGTCATTGTTTGATGTTTGGTTTAATGTCTATTTTATTTTCTTTTGTTTTGGGCATCTATGTTCCCTTGTTTATATTTTAGTCCTACTAATGTATGTTATGTCATTTTTGTGGATATTTGACTTTGGTCCCAATGTTTGTAATAGTTTCATTTTAGCCCCTGAGTTTATATGTTATGTATTGTGGCTGAGTTTCGAATTTATCTCTGACATTTATAAATATTATATTTTAGTCACTGATCTTAGGTGTTGTGTACTTTCTCTGATATTCAAATTTGGCTATGATAGTTATAAATCTATTATTTTAGTCATTACCTTACTTTTGGTTTAATTATGATTCGGCCTTCATGTTTTTGGTTATTGCAGTTTAGTCCTAGATGTTGTTTATGGTTTATTTTCATTTCTAGTGCTTGTAAATGTTTAATATTTTGATTCTGGCTCTGTTTTTTATTTACCGCTTAATCCCTTCATCTTTCTATTTATTTCATTTTAGTCCTTTGAAATTCATGTTTGTACTATTTTGGTCCTTTGAGTTTATATGTTGTTATTTTGGGTTTTGTAATTCAAAGTACTTTTTTGTCATTATAGTTTGGTTTGTAATATTAATTTTCTTTTATTTTAATCCCCTATGTATGTACATTTTTCATGTTATGTATCTATTTGTACCATATGTAATTAAATATGTTTAATTTTATTTGTTGTAAATATTTATTTCACATATTTCTATTTCTATTTATTTCCATTTTTCTTTATTTAAATATTGTCCAAATACTTTTAAGAACACGTATGCGTAGAATGAGCGTGGAAAGTATCACTTGGTCGAAGTGGTGCGATCCGATACGGCATTTAACGACATAGTAACTTAAAATAAGTTGAGTATATTTTGTTAATTTGTGCAAATGATGCAATGTGTGTTATTTTAAATAGTAATTTATTTTACTTTATGTAAATATAAACTTCAAATTCTTTTCCATTTTATTTTCGATTCATGTTTTAGTTAATCAATTTATTTTGTTGTATGCAAACGTCAATTTTATTCATATTCGATTCACATTTTATCAAGAGGGAAATATTCTTTATAGATGAGAAATAGTCGAGTTAGCTTTCCCGATGGAGGATTGCTAATTTCGAGATTTCTTTTCGAGTTAAAGAATTTTCTCTAATTATTTAATTCGAAGCAAATTAATCAACGTTCGATAAATAGATCATATTTTAACTTTATATTTGATTTATAATTTCCACCATTTACAACGATGTGTAAGCAACACAGTACCAATTTTGGGCGTTGTGGGGGTGTTTACCCTTCCCCGCACGTAACCGACTCCCTAATCCATTTAAATGAATCTTTGGTAACGCAGACCGAATCTTGTCTTAAAAAATGATTTTTCTTAAAATTGTTTTAAAAGACGTTTTTAGGTATTCGACCTACCTAACCCAAAGGCTGATGGCGACTCTTTTTAATTTTATTCAAATCAATTCAAAATCACCCATTTTTTCCAAATTAAAGTCATAATTGTTTTTAAAAATAATATTTAATTGTTTTACAAAAAATAATATTAAAAATTGTTTTAGCAAATAACCCATGGGATACATACCTTATACCTTCGTAGGGATTTATTCCTCGTACGAGTATAAGGCAATGAATCCCCTTGAATTGAACTCGTTCCGTTTGAAACCTGTAATGGGTGAGGATCGAGGGTCTGGCAGCCCAAGGGGGCACCGACATCAAGGACAATTCGAGTCCCCTTTCCTGTTAGAACCGAAACCATGCATATAGTGAACCGTAGAATGGTCACCCTAGGTATAGTTATATCGAACCTCTGTCCGTCAGTAGGTACCTAAAATAGGTGTACACAAAGGAGGAATGTTTCTAAACCCTTACCTTTTGTTTAAAGTTTGTAGAATATATTTATTCTTTTAGAATAAAAGCATGCGAACTAGATATCATGCGGTTAGGATTATTTTCTTGAAATTAAATCAATTTTGGGTAGAAAGCATGTCCGGGTAGGATTGTTATCTATTGAAAGCATGTTTGGGTAGATATCATGATGGGGTAGGTGTTATATTCATCTCTAAATAATATTTTTATATATATCGATTGTCTTACCTGTACTAACTAATTTCTTTTCTTTTCTTTGTGTGCACTAACTTATTTATTTTCTGTTGTTTTTGTTTTTTTCATTCTTCTTTACATTGCATCATCATAACATAATGCGAAAATGTTGATCAGCAAGGGGATATTCGAGAGAAAATTTTCACAAGAAGAGATAAAAGTTTTCAACCAAGCAGTCGCGTACACAGACATGCACCGAAGGCTAAAAAGAAATGCACAGAGTACAAGAAGGAGACTTGTTCAAGACGATCGTGCAACGTTCGAGACTAAAATCACTGATCCGATGAGTGATCCAGCAGTCGATTTTTATCTACGATCATTTCATCGCTATTTATCAAGGAGCGGCACACTGACTTCCGCACCACTGGGGCATTAATAGAGTTAGGTTACAGAATGCTTTAGGGGCATCAGTTCCAAATACAAAGATCCGAGACAAAGCAGTGAGCTCGACGATCGTGCAACATTTAAGACTGAAGTCTGGGGATTAATCCAGCAGTAGATTATTATTTATGATCGTTCCGACGTTATTCATCGAAGAGTGATGCACTGACTTCAGCATCGCCGGGGCATTAAAAGAGTCTGTTTACAAAACGCTTGAGGGGCATCATTTTCAAGGATGAAGATCCAAGATGAAGCAGCGACCCATTTCAGATTCAACATCTAAGAGAAGTCAAGTCTGTAAAGTGGACTGTCTTGTAATGTGAAAACTTTTATTTCTAGTGAAAATTGTTCTAAAATATTCATTGTTGGGATCAACATTTCTGCATTTGCATTTGCATCGTTGCATTTTGCATAACATTCATTTAAGCATGTTTACATGCATTAATCATACCTTGTGGGAAACTTTGAGGAAGCGCTTCTAACTGTGCAACTGCATTCACACAGTATTGAAAATGGATGCAAAATTTGAGGAATTGAAGAAAGAGCTGAACGAGAGTTTGCAAAAGTTGCAAGCAGAGTGGGAGGTTAAAATGGAGCAGATACAAAAGACCACCGTGGATCGTATCTTGCAAAACCAAAAAGACCTAGTTGACCAAATGGTAGCAAAGATGGCTGAGCTCAACCAAGAAAAAGGCAAAGAAAAGATTTCATTGACCCGTGAAACAGTTAAATGTGTGAAAGCACAGGCTAGTTCGCAACCAGCTATCTAGCCCAACAGGATTCCTAATCACCTAGTGACGAGAAGAGCCCAGAACGAGATCCCAGATAATTTGAAACAGTGGTGCAGAGAGACATTCCATGGAATGAGAGGACAAAACTCTCACAACGGGATGGATGCAACAGAACTAGTATTAGTTCTTAACCTGGTGCTTCCGCCCAAATTCAAGATGCCCGAGTTTGAAAAGTATAGTGGCACCAGTCGCCTTAATTCACATCTCACGATGTTTATCCAAAGGATGACTGGATACACCAACAATGATCCGATGTTGATCCACTGTTTCCAAGATAGTTTGATTGGACCCGCTTCTAGGGGGTATAATCAACTGAGTCATACTCAAGTCTGCTCCTGGAGGGATTTGGCTAGTGCTTTTCTGGGCCAATACAAGCACATGATTGATATGGCCCCCGATCGAACAATGCTTCAGAATATGAAGATGAAAAATTATGAGAGTTTCCGACAATATGCTCAACGATGGAGGGATGTCGCATCTCAAGTGCATCCACCAATGACTGAAAGAGAGTTCATCACTCTATTCATCGATACATTGAAGTCTCCATATATCGACTACATGATGGGGGTTGCCACTAAGAGTTTTTCTGACATTGTCATGTGTGGAGAAATGATCGAAACAGCAGTTAAGAATGGCCAGATAGGAGGCACTAGTCATTCCGACAATGAAGAAAGAGATGATATTAACATTGAAGGATCTTATCTAGCTAATCTGGGGACCAAACCTCATAAGACATTCTGTCGCATCAATCCAATCCCAATGACATATGAGGAATTGCTCCCAATGCTAGTTGAGAGGAACCTTGTGACTCCAGTTCAATCCAAACCAAGAGAGACCCCATATCCTGAAGGCCATGATATTAACGCCATTTGCAGCTATCATGTTGGGAGCTCGGGGCATACCACTGACAACTGCAAGACACTAAAGCACAAAATCCATAATATGTTTTATTCAGGGGTATCCTAATACTAAGCCAGAGAAGTCATTGCATCAACCACTTGCATCCATAGAGATTGTTTTGTTTGAACTCGTTTTTGTTCTTTCTTCAATATTTGCTTAAATATTTTTAATCTTTGATGACTGAAATGATCATACAATAATTGAACAAATTTTAATCTTTAGTTCTTTGAATATCGAATGAATTACATATTCTTTTAATTCTTCAAGAATTATAGATTTTTGACATATGGCCAGATTAGACCTATTTTATTCTGTCTAAACCCAAAATAAAATATCTCAATTTTTACCCGAAATAATTCCTGGTCACTACCAAATAACCAATTTTTGACATTCTATCTCTTCGAGACCTTGAAATATTCTTTCCACCTTGAAACACTGTATTTATTTTTTTGAGACACAAAAGTCATACCCATACCTTTCTTTGAGCCAATAAAGTCACCATCGTCTTCTTAGACGCAAAACCAACATTTTTTACCAATAAAACCTACAGACGTTGAGTATATTGTTCACTTGAACATGAAATTTCCTACAAGAAGAAACAATGTGGGGCATCTTGAAGCGATCTTCTAAGGACGAGCCTGAGCAATTGAGGCATACCGGGAGCAAGAAGAAGAAAAGAAGAAATTATTTCAAAATAATTTTATCATGCATTAATTATATTTTTTCATGTGAATAAAAATTAATCCTGAAAATCTATCCCCCTGGGGATACCTCTTTCGCAAGGATTTCTATGTATGAGATGACGAACGGCTTTCTTTCATTATCCCTTCATAACAAGAGAAAATATATATCCCTTGTGTCCCCATTTGAGCCTGAATTATATTTTCTTCTGATTCAACCCTAATCAAGGATCACCCTCCATATTGGGGGGCAAGTTAGAGGAAATCTGCTCGTATGAGTAAAGACCATTAATCCAGATAAGATACCAAAAGGTGAACCAAATACACAGTGCAAAGATCATATTAAAGCGAAGAGAAAAGAAAGCAAAGAGAAAGAAACAAAGTGAAAAAAAAGAACAGAAAGTGGACAAAGAGCACATACAAAGAGTCTCTCGACTTAAATGGCACATCAAGTTTCAAACTATGAGATTGATCCAGAATTAGTTCACCAGAAGATCATAAAACATCAAGAGAAGACAAAGGACTCATACGAGCATATTCAAATTGAGCAAAACAAGATCGAAGGCATCAGAGTTAATTGATCCTTGGTTCAAATACCCTTAAAACACATGTTTGGGCCTTTTATCCATTTCTTTCATAACCCTGAACCATGACCTACATT